AATCGACCAAGCGAAATCAGGACTCTTCTCGAGATCAAGACCAAGCCTGATCTCAAGGAACGGAGGAAACTGGCTTCGGATCTCTCGAACTCTTTGATTTGAAGCCTGATCTCGGCGTCGGATAATCCTCTTTGACTCGGATAACGACGTTCATCGCCTTCTCTTTGTCTCAAGCTGTGTACGGACACCTATAGGCATCAGAGGAGTGGTCTCTAAGACTCTCCTCCATCACTATGTCTCTCCAGCCCTCTCTGCTACCATAAGGGCCTCTGGCTCCGATCGGGTGTATAGACCAATCGCAGAAACCATCAAGGAGAACACCCCTCTTTCAGATGACCTTATGAATGCCCCATGCGAGAAGTTCAAGATGCCTTACGTAGAGAAGTATAAAGGCGAGGGAAACCCCTCCAAGAGTGTTCAGAACTACTATGATGTGATGAGCATTCTTCAAGCATCGGAAGTAGTCATCTGTCAATGCTTTCCCATCACTCTTTTCGGGGAGTGCTAAGCTATGATGGAACGCTCTTGAGAAGAAATTCATCAGCAGCTTCCAACAACTCAGCAGGATGTTCATCAACCACTTCCTGGCTGACACCAAGCAGAAGCTTCCCCCTCACGTATTGATACAAATGAGGCAGGGGCCCGGAGAGAGCCTTCGAACCTACTTCAATAGGTTCCAAGCGAAGAGGTTGGAGGTCAATGACCCAGACAGTGCAGTTACTATATCTGCACTCGTGGCCCGCTTGCAGAGCAACGAGTTGGCCAACTCACTTGCCAAGAAGCCAGTCGCCAATTATGAGCAACTGATGACCAAAGCTCACGGGTACATGGACATGAAGGATGCCCGAGCTTACAAGGCAGCAGCTAGGGTTGTAGATCAGCGGCACCAGCAACGCCACTTGCCTCGTCGACTCCAGCAGCAACATCAACAATTAGGAATTAAAGATTTGTACAAATCCAGAAAGATTATTTACACCATAATCTATCTATTATCTATTATTCTATTATATTAGGAAATCGGCAAAAAAAAATTGAAGAGAAAGAAATCACAATCAAAATTACCAATTAACTAGTAGATTAATCAATATTTATGCTAATTGTTAGAGAATTTTATTTCCTTTGATTTCGTAATATTGTTTTTGGATTTTTGGGATTGATTACAAGTGGGAACGAATTTGAGAAGAGGAAAGCTGATGTAGCTAGCTCTGAGAGAGTTTAAGGAGAATGGTTTTACCTTAAATAAAATTGCTATATTACGGCTGTGAAACAGTCTAAATCTTTTGGGTATACTACACTAAGGGGCTGTTTGGTTCAATAGAGTGTAGGAATAGGATTAGGAATCCTATTTTATTTATGGATTCCAATCTAATCCATAAAATTTTTATAGACAAGTTGAAGTTTTATGGAATCCTATTTTTTTGGCATTCTATGTTTGTTTCTCCCAAAGGATTAGGAATCTAACATTTATAGAATTGGAATCAATTCCTAATACCATGTTTGCTTCAAAAAGTCTCTTTTTTTGGGAATAAAAACTGTAGCAACAGCAGCCTCTTTATCAATTTAAATATTTCCTGTAGCAACGGCTAGAAGAGGCATAATTTCATATTTTGAGCTGGAATCACTGTAGCAACGGCTCTTTTCAGCCTCAAAAAATTCAGATTTTAAAATTCTTAGTCAGAACACTGTAGCAACGGCTAGAAGTGGAACATGGTGGCTATAAATTCACCTTGAGGCCTCACAATTAATCCAAACATTTTCAATTTCAGCATTTATAAAATCCCCATTGTTTTCAATTTGCTGTCCCGACATGAAAATGATATCAGAAGAGTGCTGGCAGGATTATGAAGTTTATTGTGACTGCCATCTCCGAACACCGATGAAAGTGTGCAAGAATGGTAAAAATAAGGGTAGGTGTTATTGGGGGTGTGCAAAATTCCCAAATAAAGAATGCAATTTTTTCGAATGGGCTGAAAAAAGAGGAGAGTCATCAAGCAACCAAGGAAGCCAATATGTTAAAGAAAATAGGTACGGAGAAAAATATATTTTGCAATCAAAGAAGCTGAAGAAAGAATTGAGACTTGTCGAAAATCAACTACTAGTTTGGAAAATTTCTGCAATTTTCTTAGCAATTTTTTGTGTTATTTTAATTATTACAAACTTCATGTCATGTACCTGTACTTGCAAAAACTACTGAGGATGTAATGAAAACTGTTGTTTGAACTGGGTACAAATTCTTATTGATATTGTATGGCTCAGTAATAGATCAACTTGTCATCATTGATTGCCCCACCTATAACTTAAACATGTTTATTACAGATTGCATTATAAAGATGAATTGCCTCGCCTAGACATTGCCAATTCAATGTAGGCTGCAATCTCATCTCAAATATTGCCTCATCTGGATATAATAAACGATGTAAGTTAGGTTGCATTCTCAGTAAACGTTGATCATCATCATTGCCACATATCAAGTGCAAAAGCAACCAGCAGCAGCAGCAAATGCTGCACAAAGCAACCAGCAGCAGCAGCAAATGCTGCACAAAGCAACCAGCAGCAGCAGCAAATGCTGCACAAAGCAACCAGCAGCAGCAGCAAATGCTGCACAAAGCAACCAGCAGCAGCAGCAAATGCTGCACAAAGCAACCAGCAGCAGCAGCAAATGCTGCACAAAGCAACCAGCAGCAGCAACTGCTGCAGAAAACTCAAAACAGGCACAAACCAGCAACCAGCAGCAGCAAATACTGCACAAAGCAAACAGCAGCAGCAGCAAATGCTGCACAAAGCAACCAGTAGCAGCAACTGCTGCAGAAAACTCAAAACAGGCACAAACCAGCAACCAGCAGCAGCAAATGCTGCACAATAGGTTGCATTCTCAGTAAACGTTGATCATCATCATTGCCACATATCAAGTGCAAGGAAAACCAGCAGCAACAACAAATGCTGCACAAAGCAACCAGCAGCAGCAACTGCTGCAGAAAGCTCAAAACAGGCACAAACCAGCAACCAGCAGCAGCAAATGCTGCACAAAGCAACCAGCAGCAGCAGCAAATGCTGCACAAAGCAACCAGCAGCAGCAAATGCTGCAGAAAACTCAAAACAGGCACAAACCACAACCAGCAGCAGCATGAGTTGCAGAAAGCTCAAAACATGAGCTCACCCAAACAGCAGCAGCAGCATGAGCTGCAGAAAGCTTACCTGATATCAAAATATAATCGGAAAATTCAAAGAAATCAATGATCATTCCACGACCTTACCTGCAACAAAGATTGCAAATATACCAATTCATCAATCCCACAACGACATAGATGTTCTTCAGAATGAAAATACAAATTGCAACATTAATAGTTTGCAATAAACACAACAATATCCAGAACGTAATATAATCGAAACACAACAATATCCAAAGTGACCACGGCGCAGACAGCTGTATTAGCACACATCCTCTTCAAATCTTCCTCATCTTCCATATCCATCTACAACCGTTTTAAAATTATCATACAGTTACAGCTTAAGATGGCTACTTATTTCTTGTCAAAATTAAGTAGATAATTGATACAAATATTTATTTCTTTTAAAGCAAGAAATCTAATTGCAATAATAAATTATTTTAACTAATGTTGCATTCCATCTCACACAATTATCAAGAAGCAAGATAGACCCAAAACAAACAAACTATATGGTTAGATTACTAATAATTTACACGCACACAAAAAATGAAATAAAGTAAAAAAAACAGCAATTTAAGTTATTAAAAGACTGATTTGAAACATATTATGAAATTAATCTCTACACAGATACCCGCATGAAATTAATCTACCTAACAACCTAATTCTTGCACATTTACAAAAAATCCACTACACAGATACCCGCATGAATTGTTTTGCTGTAATATTATGAAATTAATCGCTTAAATCATTGAAATTGCTATCAGCCTCTATTTCTCATATGCTTCAAAATTAAATTTAATTCCTCAAATCACTGGAAAAATAAGCCAAAGTAAGAGGGGGAAATTTTTATACCTTACTGCAGAGGGGGGAAATGCCGACGTTCAAGCAAAAAACCCACCGACGTCAAAGAAAACACCGTAGCCACACTCCAACCAGAACAAGATCGAGAAAGAGGCCCGAACCCAAGTTGAAGAAGATCCCAACCAGAAGGGATCACCAAGAATCGAAGGCAAGAAACCCACCAACAAGCTCGTGGAAAAGAGAGCTAGGGTTTCGAGAAAGAGGCCCGAACCCAAGTTAAAGAAGACGAAGCGCGGGAGCAGAGGCGCAAAGAAGAGGGCGATTGAGGCGGGAGTGGCACAGCGATTCCAGATCTAGGGATCGAAATCGTGAAGATGAGGAATCGGAATCGACGACATAGCTCACTGTCAGAAATCTCGCCCAAATCCGAACCCAAAGCTCGGATTTAGGTTTCTATAAAAAAACGACAACTATAGCTACTTTATAGAAATTGTAATCCCAAAATTTTTGCTGAGCCAAACTCCAGAATAGGATTCACAAAGAATCCAAAAATTATGAAAATGCCACTGTCAGAGCCCAAATACTAATCCTATTCTATAAAAGGGTGAAACAAACAGCCCCTAAACCTCAAATAACTCTCAATGTCTGGTAGTAAGCGTTCAATAACTTTCAAAATCACACTAAACACCCTAATAACTTTTGGAATTATAAAAACACAGAATAATTTTCCATATTTTACAGATAATCCCCATAACTAGAACCAAAAACCAACATAAAAAAGGCATTTTGAAAGTTCTTGCGGTTCAATTTAATTTACCCAAAGCAGAAGTTATTGACGGTTTATTGTGAAACACTGAAAATTCTTGGGAGTTTATTGTAATTTACCCCAAATCTTTTTTGATATGGAAAATCCAAAGTTTCTATTTTGCAACCCTTTATTTACTGCACACAATATTTAGATATGTGGAGGGTCCTGCTGCAAAAAAAGCCACTATAAGAACGCAGAAACCCTTCAGCTACCAGAAGGAAAACCCTTGGGCTCTCTCCCTCTCTCTAAACCTCCAATGGCGAATCGGAGCTCGTCTCCTTCCTCTGAACTTCTTCATCCTTCTCCTCCCTTCCCCGTCTTTGTCGACACCAATCTCGACACCAGATTCGCGTTCAACGTTTTCCCTGAGGACACCGTCGCCAATCTCAAACGTAAAAATCCTACCCATTGCTTTTTTTTTTGCGCAATTTTTCATTTATTTTTGACGTGGGTTATCTTTAATTTCTCTGGTTCTGGCATTCCCTCAAATGGGTTCTCTTCATCTTTGAGAGTTGAAGGGTGGATTATCGAAGCAAACCCACATGCCCTTTTGTTCTCATTTTGTTATGCAATCCCTCAAATTATTGGTTCGTGGCATTTTTCTTCAAATGGGTTGAGCGCAGCATTCATTCTGATACCAAAATTGGGCTTTTTAGAAAGTTTAGTACTGATTTGAAATGTTAAGGATTGACTGTCGTGCTTTTATCTTGGTATAAATAAACTAGTTTTTGTGGTATAAGATTCAATTCTATTAGGGAACAGGATATGTACTGCATTCATCTTTGTGCTCAAATTTATGTTCGTATTCTGTTGAACAGAGAAAGTAAGGACCGAGCATGTGCTTTGCTTTCCGGATATCGGTGAAGTTTCTGTCAAGGCAGTGAAGGTATGGGAATTTTACATGTCGAGTGTAAATAATTTTATTCAACTAGGCCGTAAATGTTTTTATGTGCTAAACAGATATCTCATTTGTGCACTTTTTTTCTTCTCTACGTTAATGTGCTTCTAGTTGATGATTGCATTTCCCATGTTATTTTAATCATGTCTATCTCCTTATAGGTAAAGCGTAGAGGATCCTTATATCATCTACTAGATTCCATGTTTGTCATGAGGGCATTCAGTGAAATCACGAGGGCTGGGTTTCTTCATCTTGATCTCGAACCTACTACATCTATACTGAACTGCCAGACAGAAGCTACTAATACTATCATGAATGAAAGTCATCAAGAACCAAAAGTAAATAATTTACTTCAAATAGACCGTAACACTAGTCTAGTGCCAGTCGGTGGCGAAGATAGGGATGAAAGTTTGGTGGCAAATGAGATGTCAATTGAAAAGGGCCCTGTTCAAACTTCGATGGAGAATGATCATGAAAGAGAAAGAACCCCAGATAATCTCTTGAAGGAGCCATCAGCTAAAGAAGTGCATGTTCTTTCCAGTGGTAGGTTTGATTCAGTTGGTACATGCTTCAATTATTAGTGTCCAGAAATATAGCCAAAATAATATTAATTTGGTTATTCCTTTTTCAGAACTTGATATAAGGCCAGATACTGGCATAAGGGAAATGGAGCTAGTGACTGTGGGTGATGCGATGGTTGGATCCAACCATCAAAAAGAAAGCATGAAGGTGGCTGCTGAAGACAGGAAGAGGGACAATCATGGAGATGGTGGTATTGGGCCTGATGAAAATGTTCGTGTTATTGCTAGTAAGAAAGAAAAATCTAGGAAAAGAAGCAGTGCATTGCAAAGTGATCAATTTTTGGATGGTAAATCGGAACATCCTTATGCGGAGAAGAAAAAACGGAAAAAAGATGAGTCGTTTAAGGAACCAGTTAAGGATCAGCTTACAGAGCTTAACCTTAAAAATACTGTTTACAAGAAAGAGACAGATCAGTCTTCTTCAGAAGGATTTCTTACTGACTCCTCTTTGCATCAAAATCCTATTGATGGCAAGCAGAAAAATCAAAAGAAGAAAAAATCGTTACCAGAAAATGATGAGCCTCAGCAAGATGAATCAGTTGATAATTCAATTAGAAATACAGATGCTGCTCTAGGAGAACAAGCTGCTGAAGAGAATCATGTGGAACATACAGAAACACTGCCATCACCCAGCATAGAGTTGCCGACCCAAGAATTCAGTAATACTAATCCTGAAGTTCCATTGCAGAAAAATGCTGAAGCCCTTGGCAAAGAGTCGAATGTTGCAGCTATCTATGAAGAATCTATCCAGCCTATTAACCGTGATGGAGTAGATCTGGAAGTTGCAGCAAACCCAATTGAGAAAGATGGTGATGCTCTCGTCTCTTCAGAGAAACCAGTAAATAAAGAGAAGATTGATGAAGTATTGAGGAACAGCCATGATAAATTTGGTAAAGTCTCTGATGTGGTCATGAATGATATACAGCTGAGTAATAAAAATGTTAAAGAATCTGGAATTCCCTCTGAGGTTAATGTCAAAAGCTCAAAGCGCAGCAGAAAGAAAAAAGGAGAGAAAACTGAATTATCCAACACTTCGTCTGCTGTACTTGAAACTGTTAATTCCTCTAAGGACCAAGTCGCAGAAGAGAATCAAAATAAAATGCTAAGCATTCCTGAAGAGTATCCAGGCGAGAACTTTAAGGCAGAAAATGTTACTGGAGATGCTGCAGCTTCTGGATATTCTGTACCAGTTGAAAGTAAATTACCTTGCAGCCCTAGTGACAAAAAGAAAAAACGCAAGCAGAAAAAAGCAGAAAAATTTGAATTGCATCAGCAAGAGCCCAAACTGCAGTCCAGCACACATGAAATTCTTAATTCTCCAAGAAACCAAGTGGTAGAAAAATTAATGGAAGAACAATCAGTCAGAAATCCTGGAGATGAATCTAAGGAAGAAACTGTTCTGGGAGAAGCTGTTGCAAATTTTAAAACAGCTGAGGCTATAATTCCTTCCAACACTAATGACAAGAAGTCAAAGCGCAGTCGGAAAAAAACTGAAAAGTCTGTCAATTTCGTGGTGGACAAAGTCATTGAAGAGAACCTAAAAGAATCTTTGGAAGATAATAACAAAGACACATCAGGAAGACACCTTGAACATCCAGCCAAAGGACATGAAGAAACAACTATTTATGGAAATGCAAAAGTTGATGCAAATATGTCGATACTTGACTCAGAGGTTCCTTTGAGACCTAGTGACAAGGAGTCAAAGCGCAGAAAGAAGAAGGCGGAAAATAATGAATTGCCAAATAAAGAATCTAAGGATGACACTGGTCATACTTTAACAAGAGATCATACAAGTAAAAATTTGGAGAAAGTGTTGGGGATTACCAGCAAAGGTTCAGGTATTGAGTTTAATCCTAGAATAAATTCTGATGAAACTGGACAAAATAATAATCATGCCGATCTTTCTAACTTAGGTTTGTCAGGGTTTGATGATTCATCTGACAAGAATGAAACCAGGCATCTTTCAGCACAAAACACCACTGAAGAGAATACAACAGGGTTGCAGAAGGCTCATGAAGCATCTGACGTGAAAAATGTGGAACACGCTATTGGTAAAGAATCTACAGAGTCTATCCAGGAAAACGATAATAGGGAACTGCCCAAATCTGATAGCGGGAAAATTGATTTCTTAAAAGTTTTTGACCCAGAAGCAAGGCAGCTTGAAATGACACAGGAGCTTCCTTCTGTGGAGACTGAAACTAAGAAAATAAATAAGGAAAAGACTAAAAGGAAAAAGAAATTAAACCCATCTCCACAAGAGCCTACTGCTAAATGGCTGAGACCCTTGGATTCAGACAAACAACATATTTCCAGAAAGAAGCCTCAAGAGAAGGATTCTGGTAAACCTAATTTGATACAGATTCCAGAAGAATTATTATTTAGTAAAAAGCACAAACAGAAAACTGCAGACTTTGTACACAAATCTGATGTGGGGTCTCCAAGGAGTTCAAAGGATGATCACAAGTCCAAGAATTTTGATGCGTCTATCAGAAATAGCCCTGGAGGTGGGCCTGTTACACAAAATAGCTTCCATGCTGTTGGTAGGGTTCCTGCAGAAGAAACCATGGATGATTTGGCTGCATCTAGTGACAGTACTAAAGAGGACACGCCAGTTATTAAAAAAAGATATAGAGTTGCAGTTAGAAAGGTCCCAAGTAGCAGATATCAAAAGGTTCCAGACAAGTTGAATGAGGAAAAGACATTGTTATCTGCTTCTGCCAAAATTTTTGATGATGCAAGTAGTGGAAGCTCTGAGGAGGAATTTGAAGTAAGCAACAGGCAGGCTCTTGAGAAAGCTACTCCCGATAATTCATCAACATCTGATGAGTCAGATGGTAGCATTGAAGATACTCAAATATCTTACAAGGATTCTTCAGGTACATAACTCCAATTTCCTTTGGGCTTGTTCACAGCACTGAGAGCACATTTTTCTACTTAAATCAAATGGAGTAGATAGTTAATGCATTAGGACTGTGATTTGTATGTCAGAGTGATATTTCATGGGTCTGGTTGAGAATCTTTTTGGGTATGTTTAAGCATGCAGGGAAATTATTTATCATCATTGAGAATCTTTTCGGGTATGTTTAAGCATGCAGAAAATTTTTTGACCATCACCAGAAGAAATATATCTTATCTTTTCGGAATTAATTTGACATATTTTATGAGTTAATTCTTGTATATGTCATATAATTTTTAAGTTATGACTATTCACTAACCATATGGGTAAAAACATACAGCTAAGAAATTAGCTTACATGCAGTGACCCCTTACTAAACTATTTCTCTCACTTTATTTTCTCAAGCAATAATGTCATCTATCTGTTTGGCAAACTCCATTGCTAATTTTCCATCGGGTATCCATCCAACTACACCCATATCATTTTTTTTCCAGATTATTGCTTTCACAACATCTAGATTTCCTTAGCCTAAAAGTGTTGTTGCATTGTTAATCCTATAAAACTATTTTTTTTCCTTGAATCATTAATCCTATAAAACTTTTTTCCCTATTGTTCCTACAAGTGGGATCATGACGAGGAACAGAAGCTTAGTTTGAGATCACTTATTTGGATAAAAAATAATAAATAATAAATATATAAATTGCACTTTTCATTTAAGAATAAAAAAGATACAAACACAGGATACATATTCGGGCACTTCACATGCCGTCAACTCACATGCATAATACTAGTTGCAATTCACGTTCACTGTCTTCACAAATATTCTATCTGTTAAAAACATTCTTCTGTCCTCTCAAATGAAAAAGTAATCATTATTTATAAAAGTAAAATAGAATCCTAATCCTAGCTAATGGATAACATCAAATCACAGATTCTAACAAAATAATAGATTCATTCCTAACTAAAGAACAAACTCAATCCTAACTAAGATCCCTTAAAACGAATAAAAATTCTAACTAAAATCTTCATCAAATCTTTTCTAAGATTAAGTTCTGGATTTGTCCTACATCAAATCTCCCGTGGTTGATGAAACTCGACCTCGAGTTTAAAATTGAAGATCGTTGGACTTTGAATTGTTGCATTGTCAATGTCGAAGCTGCAACAATGGATCTCTTCAGTTCTGATACCAAATGATGAAGGATAGAAGCATAGCGATATGTTGAGATTGATTATTTGGATAAAAAATAATAAATATAAAGAATTGCACTCTTCATTTAAGGAACAAAAAGAGATAGAAATGCGCGCTTAACATCTAGGCACTTAACATGCTGGCAACTCACATGCCTAGTACTAGTTGCAATTACATACATAGTTTTTCACAAACATGCTTCTCTCCTTCAAATGAAAAAGTGCATCATTATCTATAGAACAACAAGAACAACAAAGCCTTTATTCCAAATATTTGTGGATCATTATTCATAGAAGTAAAACAAAATCTTAATCCTAAATAATGATAACATCAAATCATACATTCGAACAAAGTAATAGATTCATTCCCAACTAAACAATAAACTCAATCCTAACTAAGTTTGAAACAAAAGAAAAATTAAATCCTTAGAACAAATAAAATTAGTGTTTAACATATATATATGCTAAGACTAGTGATTCCGAAAGTAGGGGCTTTCTGCAGATTGGAGCTTGTGTTACAGATAAACCAAAATACTAATCTTGATTATTGAAAATTTTTATAGGTAGATTGAGTTTTGAAGTGGTTCAACTTTGTGGGACATGTTCTAATTTTTTTTCAGCTCGGTAAGGGGTACAAATTGAACTAGACCTATATTCCATTTAGATAGGTCTATCAAAAGGATAGTAGGTAGTTTCTTTAGACAACCATCTTGAGTTAAATTACATATATTGCTTCTTTAAGGCAAACACATTTAGTCCAATGATCATGCCTTATTTATGAGGCCTCTCCAGGCTAACATGAATTTGCTTGCCAGAAGGCTTCTTGTCAATTACATGTTTGTATAGCCAGGTCAGTAGATCAACTTAATTGTTAGCTTGCACTCACTATGTCTCACCTTAAACTTCAAAGCTATCAATCAATATATTCTCTTCTTTGTTAGATCTATTGAAAATTCAGCTTTAAGTTTAGATGAAATAAAGATTTGCATTGTTGAGAACTAGAACTAGCAATAGCATTGCATCCTTGATATATGTGTACTAGGATTTTGGCAAGTGCAATGCTTGTTGAGAAAAATTGATGAAGTGTAGAAAGAAAAACTTCTCTTCTTGTAGTTTTCCGTACAAAAAGCTTATGGATTATTGTGTAAACATTTGATCACACCATGAGAAGCTCACCTGAATAGAAAAGTGCATTGGCAATTATAATCGTGATTATTCAGTAAAATTAAAATGAATAATTTATAATGTTAGCCAATTTTATCTTTAGTATTAGGAGTTCTGAGCCTTTTTAGATCATCCATGAGACCAATGAATCTATGAGTTTGCATTAGATATAGAGACTTGTACATTAGACTCATGTTGTTTCAAATCTATATCAATTCAATATCCTAAACATCTTTATAATATCATAATCCGCAACATCATGCTGAGCAAGTATAGTTTATGTTTCCCTCAATAAAAAAGGTTCTTAGTTCTAACTAGACTATTTCTAACATTTCACATCATAAAAACTCCCCTAACAATTCACTATTTTGCTGAAAGCAGCAACAGGCCATGAGAAAATGCTCAAATAAAAAACCCTCAACAGCTTTGATTTCAATATTCAACTGCATATTTCTACCAAGTATCAATGAAACTAGAAATTTGTATTCAATAATTAACCATTTCCTTGCTTAAGGTAGCGTAAGGGAACAAATATTCTAAAATTTAAGACAGTGAAGATTACAACTAAAACCTAGGGTTAGGCATGGGCAGGGCTTGTTCAGGCTCGTGGATTGGTCCGGCCGGACCTGGACAGGTCAGAGTGGGCTGAATCTGTCTTTCTGACCCCAAGCTTGGGGCTGGACCTAGCCCAGCCCACGACCCACCTAGGTTTGGGCTGGGCATGAACTGGCCCACGGCTCGTGGGTCAACTCATGGCTTTTTTCCCCAAAATTTCCCCTATTTTTAGACCTTTTTAACTATGTTAAACTTGTATTTATAATTATAAAATTATTTAATTTATTTTTTACTATATTAAGCTATTTTCTAAATGAAAAATATATTATATATATAAGAATGAAAAAAAATATATAAAACACCTATGTGGACATGGGGCCCGCAGACTTTGAGACCTTGGGAGCTTGCAGCAACGAACTTCAACCTCGCTTCTTTGCTTGCCAATTGGCCAAAAGCCAAAGGCCTAAGGCCTTCGGCTTTGCTGACAACAAGCTGCAAGTCCAAAGGGGCAAAGCCAGCTAGGCAAAAAAAAATAAAGTTAAATGTCGCGCCAGGTCGGGCCAAGCTGCCTAGTCCCGGGTTTAGGGCTTAACCCAGCTCGACCTATGGCCCAAGTGAATACCGGGCCGAGTTTATGGTAAAATACGGGCTGGGCCAGGTTGGCCCACTGTTCAACCCGCCCCGTGCTCACCCCTACTAAAACCCTATAATTTCCCGACATGGGACAGGAAGTTAGAACATGACATTGCTTGCTCCCAAGAAATGAGCTTTGCTGTGTCATTGCAATCTCTTGAAAACTTAAAAATTGTTTAAGATGTGTGTATCACATTTTATCTTATATTGTTTTTTTCCTAGTTGGTTCAATTATTTATATTGCCAATAAACTTAGAAGTTAGGTTTTAATTTAGTTAGTATAGTGATATTTTATTCTGTAGTCTTATGTTCTGCATGTTTTTTGTGTATATATCTGTATACATGATGAAGTTCTTGATGGAATCCAGGAAATTATATATCGTATTACTTGTGATCATTTCAAGTAGGCATGCATGCTATAATATCCATTCGAACCTTTAAATTAAAGAATCTTGCGAATACTATTTTTAAGCCTAAACATTTATATTGTAATTTTCCTCTTCTTACAGAAGCTGAATCTGACCATCATAAAGGGGAGAAGGGAAGCAAAGCTGCAAAAAGCAATCTGACACAGTAAGTAGAAATCATATACTATATAGCATATTGTACATATCTTTTTTTAGCGGGATCAGGATGCAGGCACCCTTGACTATGCTTCGTATTTCATGCAATTTCCCATAGCAAATATCATTAAGTAATATGGAATCTGGAACAGGCTATGACATCTATGATGATGATGGTCACACACACATCTTAATATACTCATGCATTATTTATATGCAAGATCTTTTATATCTTATACATATTAGTCGTCTCATATACATTTATTATTCATTGTATGCTCCTTGTATCTCACCAACGCAAATGCTAGTTCATTAATTAATATGGTCCTTTATGAATATTAATGCAACTCGTAATATTTTGTCCTCTGTGAATATTAGTGCAACTCAGTTTCTTTTGGGTTTGTCTCCAACTCGCTGCCTTGAAGGATTATCATTGTCAATTGTTTGATATTCAGCTTTTTGAAACATTACTTATCCATTATGGGATTTCTTGTAAGGTCATATACCTTCTTGAGGAAACACTACCTATTTATGTTCCCTCCTAAAACAGAGAACAATCTTCAGAACTAGTCGATGATGACACATTATCTAAACTATTTTATGATGGCACATGATACTTTTGATAAATTGAAGTTAAATTCTTAGTAAAGGAAAATTTGAGCAGGAAACCATGAACTGTGTTCTTTGGCTGTTGCTAATTGTTGCTTAGTTATCTTAGTAGTTAGTACAACGGAGGATGCAAATCAAAGGTTTCTGGACATCTAGAACAATATCCTGAAGATGATTCATAAGTGCGAAATCTGGTCTCTATCTTGAATAGCTTAACGTAATAACTAGTAGTTGCCATTAAGCTATACTTTGTTAACTAGCAGACAAATTTATAACTTGGCCCATGTACTATCTCCTTCAGGGGGTTAATGAACTGAACTCAATGATTATACAGGAAAATCTTAACAAAATTTTTTTTGTTGCAATAGGACAACAGGTCAAACTGATGTTATCGCGTGTTATTATGATAGAGTGACAGTAACCATCATAATTGGACTCATTGCTTGACATTGTCAAACATCATGTTGAATTTTCATTTACTTCAATCCAGAAAAAAAGGAGCCTTGTCCAATCAACATGTGTTGACATCAAGCAGAACCAAGAAACCAACTAGGTCTTTTTCATTGTCTTACCCCTCTACACGTCTCTCTGAAGGTAGAAATGAACATAATAAAAGAGCTAATATTTTTTATTTTATTTAAGGTTGATTAATCGTAAGTCAATTCTTTTGGATTTTGTATTTCATGATTATTTTCTCTAGGCTTCAGCTAGTTTTTACTATAATGTTTACTTATAGATGTGATTTATCTTTTGGGCTTCATCCTTGTCTTTAGGTCGATGACTATCATCGAATCTGCGAGTGTAGATCATTTTAAGTATAACTAGTGTTTTAGACCCGTGCAATGTGCAGGCTGTCAATCAATCATTCTCCACCAACTTGTTTTCAGCACCTGGTGAATATCTGTCAAACATTAATATCGGTAATAAAACAAAATGAACAGTAACATGATTGGAATTCAATGCATATATGTAATAAACCATACACAGAGGAATTAGTTTAGAAGCACTTGTTTACAAAATTTAACATTCAAGGTTGTTTCTTCCATTATACCTCTCATAAAAAGGCACAGTCAAATATTACTTGTTCATAAAAGACTCCACAATAAGTAGTAATGCAGTCCATCAATTTCCCCGAATTCTGTCGCATATTACTGCATTTGAATTCCTCTGATGGTAGCATTTTCTCTTCTTTTGGCTTCCTGGTTCTCTTCCTTTTCTTCTCTCTTTCATTAGCATGAAGATAAATGAATACTGAAGTGTAAACAATTTAACATTTTAATTAATTTACTGAATCATGTTGTATCAGTTTACCTTCCTGTACTGTAGCCTTGATTTTTGCTTCCATGAATTGGTGTATCCTGAGATATAACGTAATACGTAATCATAGTGAAAGGCAATAATTAAACTTTACTAATATAGTTAATTATTTGATACTGAAAGGTTATTATGCATTGTACTGTAAATTTAGATAGGATCGATCAATTTCCTGCACTTACATCTGACAGGGTAAGCAGCAGTCCGTAGGTATTTGTGATCCTATATTCTCTCACTATTTGTTTAACATTATCAGAAAACCAAATGTGAAGAGGAAAGGAAAGCCCATCAGCACAATTCTGAAGAGCACAAGGAGCTATAAAAAGGCGAAAAGGATCACTGCTTCACAATCTGAACTCGATGAATCTGAAAGCCAACAGTTGGATGTTGTTCCTGAAACTCAACCCGATTCCCTCTAAATGCATCCCCCCTTTCATTTTTTTGAACAACCTTCGATGAGCTAGAACTATTCAGTTCAAGTACTCGTGCTGAGGTTCTGCAGTTATGTTTGTCAACTTGGAGAGCTAGATATATTCAGTTCAGGTTTTGGGCTGAGGTTTCGCAATTTTGTTTGAAAACTTGGGGAGCTAGAAAAATTCAATTCAAATATTTGTTCTGAGGTTTCGTACTTATATTAGCAGACTATAGCGATGACAATTGCTCCAGTAGTTTTGTTTTGGTGTAGGCATATTCAGTCCACCTAGTCAGTCAGTCTCTCTCTGCTTGTCTGTAAATTATCACCCGTCATTTTCTTCGAAAATGGAATGTAGATCAGCAAATAGAAATATCAAAACAAAGAAAGTGAAAAAATGATTATGAGTTTACATCTTGAACAAAAAAAGAACATTCAAAGATGGTTAACTTATAAACCCGGGCCAAAATTTCAGTTAAGTTTTTTTTAGCAATTGACCCCAACTAACCTCAATTAAGGATTATCTCTCTAATATACTTAGTATTTGACAACTAAAAATATTAAAGCAAAACAGTAACTTGACTTAAAAGTGAATCCATGTGGTTAATTGGAAAAAAAAGAACATTCAAAGATGGTTAACTTATAAACCCGGGCCAAAATTTCAGTTAAGTTTTTTTTAGCAATTGACCCCAACTAACCTCAATTAAGGATTATCTCTCTAATATACTTAGTATTTGACAACTAAAAATATTAAAGCAAAACAGTAACTTGACTTAAAAGTGAATCCATGTGGTTAATTGGAAAAAAAAGAACATTCAAAGATGGTTAACTTATAAACCCGGGCCAAAATTTCAGTTAAGTTTTTTTTAGCAATTGACCCCAACTAACCTCAATTAAGGATTATCTCTCTAATATACTTAGTATTTGACAACTAAAAATATTAAAGCAAAACAGTAACTTGACTTAAAAGTGAATCCATGTGGTTAATTAAAAAAAAAGAACATTCAAAGATGGTTTACTTATACATTTACAGTGAAAAGTGGTTTCCACCATATTTTAAAGTTAATTTCTAGGGGGAAACCGACATTTGTTATTCAAGATGTAGATTTGTAATTCAAAAAAAGGTGAAGAATCCAATTTCATATTATAAACTCAATATTTTTGCATTTTCTTTGTTTTGATTTTTTCTATTTGCTGATTTATATTCCATTTTCCAAGAAAATAACCAGTGATAATTAAAAAGGGTAAATTACACTAAAACCCATGAACTTTTAGTGTTTTGCGGTGAACCCCTATGAACTTTCAGAATTGCACTGACCCCCCAATAACTTTCGCTGTAATACCTTTTGGGTAAAGTAGACTAAACCCCCCAAATAACTTTCAAAAAGCCTTTTCATGTCGTTTTCTGTCTATAATTTATGGGGTTTATCTGCAAAATGCATAAACTTATTGGGAGTTTTTTTTGCAAAACAGAAAAGTTAACGGGGTTCAGTGTGATTTTGAAAGTTCATAGGGGTTTAGTGCAAACTGCTAAAAGTTTGTGGGGTTTACTGTAATTTACCCAATGTTCTATTCCTTCTCATGTTCATCTTGAAGCCGGTATAATCGCTCACTAACAATAATGTCATGAAGCATGCGATAAGTTACATGAGAAATAGATATAAGCACAAAATTCCGTCAAATTTATTTGAATATATCTATTACTAGATTTTTATCACATTGAGTGAAGAATTTTCTTGCTCTCCTCATCGTCTACATGTTGCACAAACAGAATTTGGATAAATTCTATGATATCTATACATTACCTCTCCTTTATCTCCTTCGACACTCAGCTAACTGATATTCTTCTTGTCTTGTCATTTATTTTATTTTGGATTTATCTACACTTATTCATTCAAACATTCTCATTTTAAGTGCAATCTTTTTTTTTTATTTTTCTCAATCATTTAATAATCGGTGCACATAGGATACAGCTAATCCTATAACCGCGCATAAACTTTACCTTCAGCTTCATAAATTTTTAGATGCTAAACATATATATGCTACCTAAAATCATCACAACATCCAGTAAAAGGCATGTAAAGCCTATTTCAAAGTGAAATCACTCACTCCCCAGCACAGCAACAACTTTAATATCAAACAGATGGTGTTAATATACAACATTTTAAAGATAATTACATTCTTCAGAAAAGAATACAAAAAGGGAAAAGGATTTCTCACTGAACATGCTCTATAACTATAGAACCACTGTCTGTAAATCTTGCAGCCTCCTCATCAATCTCTTGAGTATTTTCTCTGTTATTCGAAAACGATTTTTGACTAAACATTCGGCCAAGGCCGCTTCTCATTCTCCTGTTAGTAGATTGAGAACCATTTGTAGACTGACTCCCACCAAATTTTCTTTCAAGCTCTTGAGAAAATGATTTAACAAGCTCGTCAAATCTGCGTTTCATTGTCGGGTATCTTGATATAGACTTTGTAATTCCCTGCAACCTGTGTCATAGGGAGGAAAATTTAAAGACTTCAAGTATGGAAACATATGAAATTAATGGTTTTTTTAGAACGGACAGCAACACGCGAAAAAAAACCCCTCTATCTCAAAAGTTTTGAGGTCAACTATATGAATCATATTCTTCCATTCGGTTCTATTCTATCAATTGGAAAGTAAATGAAAATTAATAAGAAAAGCGAATGGACTTTCTCGAAATCAATACTTTTTATTGGAAGATCTTATTTGGATGATGAAAGTGAGAGAGGGAAAGTAGAGCAGACAGTTGCTGTGGCCGTCGCTTTTTATGTCTGCCCCAAAAAGTGGACGTAGAAAGTGAATATTTACGAGTGAAATAGTAAGAAGAGTGAATACAAAATTAATCTCTCTTTTCTCCTAATTAGATTTCCATTTAACTTTCTGAAGAAAATGGAGAGTGAAAAAGGTTAATAAAAATAGTTGATTTTGGCGATCAACACTTTCTAGCTACTCTCCAACCATTTTTCCAAGTTACCAAATAGGGACAAAAATTGAACCCACTTTTAATGAACGCTCGGTTATCTCATTCATTAATTAAAAACACTACCATATGCTCCTTAGTTTCTTCCCACCAATTTCACGTAGGCCTACTTCTAGTCCTCCTAGCTCTAATAATTATACCCTCATAACTTCTCCTAATTGATGCATTTGAGGGAAGAATACACACCTCCGAGCTACTGCATTGATCTCTGCTTGTCTTCTCTCACTCGCTTGTGGTGATTCAGCCTGAAGAGACTTCAATCTCTCAGGATCACTGATCAACAAGACTAATTTTGACAGATACTCCTCTTCCTCATCTGTAAAATTCTCAATCCTAATCTGCTCCTTCATTATCAATAACGGATCAAAGAAATAATCAAAAAATTTGTCCTTTGGTCGGTTGCTAGTTGTTATCTCCGTGTTGTCGCCTGAAAATATCATAACATGATATGACTAGCAAGTACCTTTGCCATTTTAGAAATGTAGAAGCTTTTGTTAGAACTTACTTAACAGTATGCCATCAGAGTTGGCCTTTGCAGAACGGAAAAGAGCCTGAAGGATAGCATAAGCTGGCAATCCAATACTTATTACAGTACGGCCACTCTTGCCAGACTTGCAATCTTCAATGTCTTTGCGGGTTATAACCCCTTCAGAAACAAGAGCCTCACCATAGCGCTTGCATTCAGTGAATAGTTGTTCAAGTAACTAACATAAATAAAGAATCAGTTAGCCAGTAACATAAAATTTTATATGAAGCTTAAGAAGGTAATAAAATTGTAGCTAGTTCTTTGAAAGAACAGGCCTACATGATATCACAATATTATATAGGGTTATTTGTATATATACCCCTTAAACCATGCATATTTGCAAACCTAACCCCGAATCGTCGACTTTGGAGAGAAAAAAAAACCCAAAATCAACAAGTCATCAACTTTGTTGGATATGGTGAGTAAAACTTTTACTAAGTTTGTTGATATTTTTACGATGCAGTTACAAATTAGCCTATCAAAGGTGATATTTGTTAAGTTGGGGTAGTTTTACAAATACTGAGATTAGTTTTGCAAATACTAAAATTTGGTGGGTAGTTTTACAAATACGCCTGACTTAAGTGGTATATATACACACACAAAAAAAACTTATTTAAGGAAGTAAAAATAATAACAATTATCCTCCTTATCTATTATGATGACTAATGTAGCAAATCGTATCTTTAAAATTGCAATTCTATTAGGAGTCTAATCTAGTAGGACGAAGGAATTATCTCCATTTAAATGGATGAAAGAGACGTCCAAATGTGTTCAGTCACCCCTATAATAGAAACTGAGTAAGAAATATAGAAAACCAGTAAAGTATAAAGGGTGTCCCACTCTAAAAATCTTTCTTATCATCTAGAAATATAGAAAACCAGAAATTTCGCCTCTCCAATTACAAATCAGCTACATGAATCCTTTTTATCCGGTTAGATCTCTTAAGGGTTGTCTCCTCTGATGAATTAACTTCTGTCCTATACTCTGATACTTCCATTGTTCATTTTTTCTATTGCTAGCTCTTGTTGGTTAATTAACCAAGATGCTATCTCTCCTAAGTGGAACATATGTTGTGATTGGCTCAACATTTGAGCGGTAGCATCACAACAAGAAGCAACAACAGCAGTGATAGAAAGCAATTAGCGGATAGCATCAAACAATAGCAGCGCAAGCGGCAGCGGCAGGGGTCCAGGGCCTGACAGCGTGCGGCCACCGCACACTGTCCCTGTGCAGAACTTGGACAGTGCGGTAGGGCACACTGTCCCACCGGGAATCCTGCTGCTAACTGTTCTGTCCGGTTTCTTTGGTTTCTTGGGGCCCAAGACTTCTACCCTATGTAAATGAGTGTTATCTCAGATTTAGGGTTAGAGATGTGACTTGAGGAAAAGAGGCCATAAGGAAGAGATCAAAGGACAAGGCGTCATGAAGAAGACGAGAAGGAGATAACTCTCATAAGAATTTACAAGGGAAAAGTTATATTCTTGTGAGGATTTACAAGAAGCCGGGCGAACTACTCTTGTGAGAGCAATGAGACGAAAGTGCTTGTATCCTCTTCTTCAAGTTAATAAAGTATCCTTCCCCTCCCGTGGATGTAGGCATATTGCAAAATCATTAAAATCTTCTTGTGTTTTGTGTGATTATTGTTTGTTTTGAATATTTCGCCATAAAGGCAAGGTTATTTTGCAAAACCCTAAAAGCTAATGTCTTTGTTCGGGATCTAAAGTCGAACAGACTCCTTACAAGTGGTATCAGAGCTGATGGTTCTTCTGATCTGGATTTCTCTTGGGTAGATCAAGGCCGATTTGTTCGAGGGAAAAGTTAGGGTTTTAAGCAATGGCAAAGAAGACAACGACAACGAGGTTCACGGTCCATTGAGTTTTGCATAGGTGATCATGCAAGAGATACGGCAGAAGTAGCGAACAGTGCTAACAAACATATATAGTGAACGATGTAGAGATCTACAAAAGGGGCTCATAGGAAAAAGTGTTGAAGTGCGCGGGAAAGCACAGAACGCTGGTAGATGCGGCGGAGGACTGGTTGGCAAGCAGAGGCAGAGGCGTACACGATCCACATAAGCAGACAATAATAGTGATGGATCTCATTGCACACCTGTTGCAAGGATACAACAATAGGGTTGGTCGTTGACGAAGGTCGCAGTCAACAGCGTGTGGGAAGCGTGTAAGGTATATTTGGCAGCGAAGGAAGCCTAGCCGGAGATGGTGAAGACGGCATTCATCAGGTCACAATCAGTGATGATCACGATGCGCTGAGGCATGACAGATGCCAAATGAGATAATCCGGCAGCTCTAGGTTGGAGAGAACAGCGACGCAGTAAGGGGGCCAAACTGGCAGCAACAGTGAAGTGCTACACGAAGTTACGTGAGGGGTTCACATGCGACAAGTGAGTTTCAAGGGGCTCAGCTCATGTGGAAGGTGATTTTGGATATATCGATCTCCTAAATCTCAGATTAAACAGTCTAGATTGATTGCCCGAAAATCAGGGATTTGGAAGCAAAGCTCTTTGACTGAGGAGTAGATTCTCGGGTTTAATTCATATGCTCAGAAGGCAATGATTGGTCTGGTTTCTCAGATTGTTTTTAGATTGGTCAGAAAATATCCCTCCTCATTCTGATTATTACAGATGGAATCAACCTTCAGAAGATTTGATGACAGATAGGCAATTTGCAATAATTACAAGAGCAGACACTCGCGATTGAGGTAGGTACACGACTTTGTGCAGAGGTCATGAAAGGATCATTCAGATACGCATTCATGAGAACATAACGCGATGTAAACCGGAACAGCACTCGACATTAGGCGAAAATCATGAAAGGTATCCAGGCACTCACTCGATGAGGGCGGCATGCGTTCCCGGGTGAAGACCGCAACAGTACACAGCTTCATGTGGATGTTATGCATGTACTCATGGATTTGAGGAAGACTCTCGGCTTCAGGTGGAGGTCATGACGAATGTTCAGTACTCATGGATTTGAGGAAGGTACTCGACATCACGTGGAGATGCAAAGGCATTTAGTTGCTCATACGCGACATCAGGTGGAGTCGTGAAGGCATTCAGACATGTTTTTTAAGGTGGTACCCAGCATAAGGTGGAGCCGTGAAGGTGGAAAAATGGGAGAAATATACAAACTTGAGTCAGGTGGAGATTATTATGATTTGCTCTAGATTTGAGCAGTAGTTTCACAACAAGAAGCAATAACAGCAGTGGCAGAAAGCAACTTGCGGGCAGCAGCAAACAGCAGTAGCGCAAGCTGCAGCAGTGCAAGCTGCAGCAGCAGTGTGCGGTGATCGCACACTGTCATGGTCCAGGGCCTGGACAGTGTGCGGCCACCGCACACTGTCTTTGTGCAGAACTCGGACAGCATGCAGTAGGCTAGGTGCACACTGTCACATGGGAAATCCTGTTGCTAGCCGGGTTTCTATCCGGTTTCTTTGGTTTCTTGGGGCCCAAGACTTCTACCCTATATAAATGGGTATTATCTCAGATCTAGGGTTAGAGAGAGGTGACTTGAGGAAGATCAAAGGCCAAGCTATCAAGATCATGAAGAAAGAAGAAGAAGAAGACAAGAAGGAGACTACTCTTGTGACTATTTACAAGAGGAAAGTTATATTCTTATGACAATTTACAATAAGTCGGATGAACTACTCTTGTGAGAGATCAATGAGAGGACAGTGATTGTTTATTCTTCTTCAAGTTAATAAAGTATCCTCGCTCCTACTCCTGTGGATGTAGGCATATTGTCGAATCAATTAAATATTCTTGTGTTTTGTGTGATTATTGTTTATTTTGAATATATTAGGTCATAAGGATAAGGTTATCCCACGAAACCATAAAAGCTAAAGTCTTTGTTCGGAATCTAAAGTCGACCAGATTCCTCGCAGCATATGGTTCTGTTTTCAACTTGCCTAAACCATGTCAACTAATTAGGACATATTTTCCTAACTTAGGCGACCTTTAACTTCTCATGATTTAGATGCACTAATTTTTAATTTTATCTTTCGAGTAAATTTGATGCTCATTTATCTCCATATTTTCATTTTAGCACACAGGCACTAATTCTGAATATGTTGATTCTTAATGGCCCATCAAAAACATGGCTGGCCATATCCATTCTCTCAATTTCCTGCACAGGAAGGTAGAGTACAACTAATGGATAAAATTTATCGTGCAGCCAACCCAAACGGTTCAATTTATGCTTTTGTATGAACATAATTTGTGTTTTCTTTTGTTCTTTTCTTTCTATAATTTAGTATTTTTTTTATTGGGCATGTGAGAATATTTTCCTCTCTAACCAATTTATTTAAATTTACGAACTTCTAACTGCAACATACACAACATTTTGCTACTAAATATGATGAGGCATATTACCTTAAACGATTTCAGTTCAGATATCGCACTCTTGACTGACCCAGTGCGTGAAGGAGGATTGTTTTTCAGTTCCTGATTCTGCCGAAAAGAAGAAGGCCTTGAGAATGAAGCAGCACCAAGCATCTCCTGCTTCCTATAAGGTCGCCTAAATAACCACAACATACCATAATTAAACCAAAAAAATTTAGAAGTGTTATTAAAATATGAGTCTCTCAAAGTTTCAATAATTCCATATTAGCACCTCAAATCTTTGAAAAATCTCACAAGTCCCTCAAATCCTAAGGGATCTTCAACTTGGTCCCCCAATGATCAAAACACCCCTCAGGTTATATTTTACCCTCAAACAACCCCTTGTACAGAACCCATTAGCTAAGGGGTATTTTGGTCATCGAGGGACCTAATTGCCAGAATCCTTGGGATTTGAGTGAAGTATGAGCAATTTCAAAGATTTGAGATACTAATGTGGAACTAGTGCAGATCTGAGGGACTAATATTTAAGTAACCAAAATTAAAAAGGAAGGATTAACAAGTAAAATAAAGATCATCTTATGTACAACCTCGGGAAGCAAGAACCTTCAGGCATATCAAGAACATCATTGCTGTACTCATCATAAATAGCCAAGGAAGAGACTACATAGGAAAACCCCATCCTGATTGATGACTCCTAAGACAATCAAAGAGTACATAAGCTGATGAAGTGTAAGAGTGAAGAGACTGAGACTAAAAGAATACAAGGAAAACCTGGTAAGTGACAATAGATGCATATCCACCCAAAAATAAACTTGATAGAAAAGAGGCCACTACTGATCCAACTACTGCTAAGGGCCAAAGAAGAATGGCAAGACCAGCGAAAGGCACGCATGCAGTCTCCAAGAATGGACCCTCTCGGCCTATAAGATCATGAAACAAGCGATTCCAGCCCTTCAGAAGCATGTATGGGCTCTTGTAAAGAGCTAGTAGAGTGATTATTGGCATGTCGACTATGATACCGAATACTCCAAGCAAAAATGCACCAATAACTAGAAGCAATCTGGGAAGTAATAAAGTAACACCCTATTAGACATTAATTACATTAACAAAAGCCATAGTGCAAGAAAAATAGGGAAATAATTGATTCATTTTGGCAGGTATTGCAGAAATAGGAAAGATGCAGAAGGGACAAATAGGGTTTTCAGATTTCTTCATGGGTCTAAATAGGGTCCCACCAACAATCGCAACACTAGTTGAGGATCCTCACCACGTGTCAGAATATAAAGTTATATCCCTCAACCCTCACCACAGCTTCGGAGTTATAATGTAGTGGAAGGGACTTTAGTATGGTATTAGAGCAATCCATATTAATGTCCTTCCACTGTAAAAAAACTCCAAAATTGTGGTGAGGGTTAAGGGCTCAAATTTTGTACACTTAGCACATGCTTCATATGACATTGAAGTCCATGCCAAGGCTGGCATAATTTAGAGCTCAACACTAAATTCTGCTCATTAGATGGATCCATTCTACAGACTGAAAGCTCGGTTATTTTTCTCTGTGTATGAGAAAAAGCACAATTGTTGATCTTAAATCAGTCATATCTGAATTACTTCATAGCATTCCGTGTCTTTATGTGATAGGATGTCAAAAATGAACAATTAAAAGTAGAGAATCCAGTTATTAATGCAAAATGCTAAATGGCAGACCTGATCTCGTAGGCTTTTCCATTTGGAGGGACTTGAAGGCGGAGGTCGTCCATAACTGAGAAATAGGAGTAGAAGCATACATCTTTCAGGTCCCTGACCACTGTGAAACTTCCTTTGATTGTACTCCATGTTCCATCCTACCAATATAAAAAAACTGCGTAGTGAAATTATATTTTAATTACACCGTAAATCTGAAGAACTTGCAGACTCGTTAATAAAATTGACCATGAAAAGAAAATTACCACAAAACAATGGATAAATTCATTGGTCTTTCCCTCTCCAACAGCCTCAAAGGTAGCTAACACTGGTGCAAAGAAGCCATACCCAGCACCTCCTACTATGCTTCCGATAATGCTAACAAGAGGCCACAGAACTAAAAGAACAGATATGACAATACAAGTGACAAGCTTCAGAATAGGTCCTAGCTGTTTGGTTCTGCTTTCAACAAAGAAATCATGAGAAAACAAGTTATTAAATGATAAAGGATTAAAGAATTATGTCAGCATTAAGCAATATATCATTTGGAACACCCGGTTACCTTACTACACAGTAATATGTCCAGACTGAGTGGGCAGGCCAGAGCCCAAGGATGATGGCAGAATTTCCAATTGTCATGATGAGGCACACAACTGGGCAAAGTAATGCACCTGGAAAAGTAGGAAAGCGTGGTGAGAGTCTCCATATATGACTATCAAAATATATTTATATTATAATAAGTATTTTACTGCAATTCAATCATATAACGATTCAAATGAAGACAACTGCCAACTAGTGATGGAAGTCTGAAAAGTGTTCCAAAACAAGATAGTTTGGTTATGTTTAGAGAGGAATTTTATAACTTCTATTTAATAAATTCTCTATTATACTTCAGCATGCACATGTCATATTATCTCTAATAATCTAGTGATAAGATGATCTTGTACCCAATAAGGATGGATATGCATACTGAAATAGAAGAGACGTTATCTTACACTGGTAAGATTGAGGATGATGTGGTTCATTGAATCAAATTGGGATGGTTAAGTGGAAGAGTGCTTTTAAAGCCTTATCAGTTGAAGCAAACCACTGAAATTGAAGGGAAAATCTACAGGACAGCTATAACTATAAGACCCACAATACTTTAAAGATCAGAATGCCAGGCAATTAAGAAACATTTACAAAAATGAGTGCAACAGATATTAGAAAGTTATAACGGACACCTGAATATAAACTAAGAGAGAGCATAATATAAGAAGCTGCTCCAATTGAGGATAAAATGAGAGTGAATCGTCTGAGAGATGGTTCGGTCATGTGCAACACCAATTAAGAGGGGGTGACAAGATAGTAATCAAGGAAGAAATGACTGTAGATAGGCCAAGAAGAACTTTGATGGAAATGGTTAAGGATTATGATAATGATTCACTTATTGGAGGAGATATCCCTTAACAAAACAAAATGGAATAGTAGGATAGTACAACCATTTAAATTTCTTAAAGCTACTAAACTTCGTGAACTTAATGGTATATATCCTTCAGTGAACTGCATGAAGTATAGTGATCATTTCCGAAATATGGGGATGATGTGTGAGTTAGTCAATAATTCAGGGGGTTTTATTGGAAGCGTCCCTTTATTTTTCTGTAAAACTAGTGCAGTTACTCATAAACTGCATGTATATCATATGAAATAGTGTGCCAAAAAGGATATATAAAACCACAGACAGTGTCATGTGAACCATTTGAGGTTATTAATCTCATATGAGATGTTATCAAGGAGAACAGTGTAAAGGTAGCCTGAAATTGAAACTGGATCACCCTATGAATGTATGATCAGAAAGTATAGTGAAATGCCTGTGATCAGAGAAGTGTAGCAAAGTGTCTTTGATCACATAAGCATTTCCAAAGGATGATTTATTTTTGGATCTATCGGAAACCCACCAATACAAAAGGAAATAAGTCTGAACTATTTATTGCAACCATTTTTACAAAGCACGTGGAATTCGCACTCATGTCCTCCACTAAATTGACTCTAATACCAACCCTAAGCCCCTACCCAGAGATAAAGACATAGCATGCTTGTCCATAACTTGCTTGGGTGTTTGAAATTACTGAGAACAAAATAAAACAACTGACACATCTGAGATTATTTAACAAGAATTAGTTGTAAATATGCTTCCTCTTTAAGTTATTCCGCGTCTGAGACTCCACAACAACTAACTAATTCCTCTTCGGCGCCATTCATCAACACTTGGCTGTTAGAGCAGCTACTAGTGATACTGTGACATGCAATCTCTGAAGATTTTAAAGCAATTCATGGATCATTGAGTCCTGCACCTTCAGCTTTTCTTCCTAAAATTGAGTAATCGTTCTAAAGTTTCATGTTCTTCCCACTGCTGTTCAGAAACATAAAACATGCCATTTAATGGAATATTTGCATGGAAAAAGTTGACAACTTGCCGTTAAAGTTTTCCCAAGCTCTTTTGGTTTTGAACTCCGGTAGAGAGATATATATGATGCTGGTCATTTTAATAGGATGGTAATCAACATCCAGTTGACAAAATAGCACCATCTAAAACCCACAATTGATCCTTTGAGTTTCAACCTTCAGAATTACTTCAACTAGCAAAGAGCCCAAATTTTGGAACTCCTCATGTGAATCTATGTTTATGGTCATGTCCTATGTTCTAATTTCACACGCACACAAGAAAAAACGAAGTAATCAAATCAAGATAAAAAAAATTGGACGAGTAATAGAAACTTTACCTTTAACGATGCCCAAAATCAGCAAGCCCACAAAATAAGGCAAGAACCTGAGGAAACTCCAAAGAGTTGCCAAGAACCCCTTTGGAGGCTCCATTACTCAAATATCCGAAAAAGGAACCAAACCCAACTCAAAAATCTCAAGACCCACTTCAAGAAACACGCTAATCAAACTTCATGCTCATTCTAAACTCCGAAAACCTCAACAAATCCAACCGCAACCCACGAAGAAACCATCAAGAAGATGGAATCTTTTCCAACTCAAACTCCCCCGCAAGCAATCAAACAGTGACAACCCACAAAATAAACCACAATTGAATCTTTTCCAACTCAAAGTTCATAAAAAGGAGTACAGAATTGGAGAGAAATTTATCAATTTCTAACCAGTTTTGGCCATCAGAAAGGGGGTTATGGGCCAGTTAACCAACCGTTGTGGGTTAAGGAGGAGAAAAGAATAGATTCTCGGTTTCAGGAGCAAGAAAGCAAGGATTTTAATTTTTAATCTTTAATTTTTTTTTTATTATAAAGAAGGGAAAGTTTTTAAGTTATCAGGACCGAGGAGATTGAACGAGGACCGTTGGTTGACAGCTGTAAGGCGACGTTGGAAAGTATCCCAATTGCCACGTGCAGACATTTGGGAACTAAAGTATTTTTGTTTTTGTTTTTATTTTTATTTTAATAAAATAAAATGTGATACAATACAATAGTCCAACTAAGTCCATTTTAGAAAGCCAAAAAAAACCAAGTCTATTTTTTTTCATAAACATGCTCTTTTCTCAAATTTGATAAAAAAAAAATAATGACTAGGGAAAAGTTTCAAAAAAGGTAATTGGGAAAGTACCCAATGAATGTGATTTATAGTATAGGCATAAGCCGTGTATCAAAAAGATATCTAGATCATTAGACTTCGCAATTTATATTGGTCTAAACACAGAACTTTTTTTAAGTATTCATGGCAATAACTAGATACATTAACTAATTAGTGTTAATATATTATTAGAAAGAGTAGATTTCTGTAAATGGACTAAGAGTTGAGTCCAACAAGTTTTTTATTCCTTTGGTTGATTTAAAATAAAATAATGATAGGGGCACACCCTCTACCACACTCCCAACCACACCACCTCTCTTGCTACAGTACACGGGGCCCACACGAGATTTTAATTTTAAAATCTCGTGTGGGCCATGTGCACTGTAGCAAGAGAGGTGGTGTGGTTGGGAGTGTGATAGAGGGTGTGCCCCTAGTGCCTCTCTTTAAAATATGCCGTCACTGTTTGTTGATAAAGATAGAATGATACCCTTCTACTACCTCATAGCCATAAGCATTATAATAGAATTTAAACTTTTAAACACAAAGTGGTTTTTATCCGTGCTCACTAGTTTTCATGAGGTTCTAGATTCAATACTCGTCCGTGTCATTGTGTTATCTTTCCAAAACGAAATTCAAACCTCAAACTTCTGCTTCCGTAACAAAGAGGAGGTAAGAGTTGTTGAGTTGATCTATCCAAAAAAAATGATGTTGAGTTGATTTTGCAGATGTTTAAAAAGATATGTTATTTGATAAAAAAAAGTAGTTATTTGAATAATTTGCATTACATAGATATCCTTAATAATTTTGGGAAACAACAAATTTAATTCTTTCTTTTACATATTTAGATTGTTTTTTTTTTTTTGCAAATGTACCCTATAAATCAAACTAGCAATAGATTTTAAGTAATTTAATGAACTTGGATCCTCTCCTCTATTAACAATAAACGAGAAATCGCTACTTTTACTTTTCATAACAACGGTTCATTATTTAATGGACAATGGTGATTGATTTTAAAATCTACTTTATTTGACCTGGGTATTGCTATTGCATCATTCATTCTTTTTACTCTAATAAACAAATCACAATTGTTTTTAAAGTGTCCATTCACTCCACAAAATCTTTATAGTTATGGTGACAAAAACTTGGCTAAATTACCACACTAGTATTAAAAGTAGTACCCAATAACCAGATTGGTATTAAAATTATCTCTAACGACAATAAGGCATTTAAACTTACACGATGAAATACATAGGCCCCAAAAAAGTTTTTCAAGCATCTTTTCTAGCGATCACTCATATAATCTGTCACATGATGCTTATGTGGCATATTTATGTTAACATGGCAGTTGTAGTTAGCAAAATTTAAACCATTAAAAAGGTATATTTTTAAATTAGTGTAAAAACAAAGAGGGTTTTTTTAATTTGGCAGCTTCTTCTCCTTTTTCATCAAACTAGTGTTCTCCATTGCTTGAGAACATGGATTCCTTGAGCTCAAGCAATGAAGAACCACCAATTTGAAGGAAGAAGAAAGAGGAGTCCCAAATTTTAAAAAAAATTCATCTTTTTTAAACCTAGTTTGAAAATCACTCCTTGTAATGGGTTGAATGAGGCTAAATATACTTGCCCATCATAATAAACATATCACCTGAGCATATGTGGCTGATTACCTAAGTGGTCACTGGAAAGTGACTGGAAAATTTATTATTTGGCCTATTTGTCTCATCATGCAAGTTTTAATATCTTATTATCGCATGAGATAATTTTATTGTTTGGCCTATTTGTCTCATCATTCCATCCTTATCGCAGGAGGTACTTCTTTTAAGGCCAATCTAGTAATTTAGTCTAAAAACTTTGAAGTTGTGGTGAGAGAGGGTTATATTTTTATATTATAACATGAAATCTGGACCCATGAAGTTGTATCACCTTTTTTTAATACGCATTAAATTTGTTTTCAGTGGGAATTGAACCAAGATTACTCTAATATCATCTTAAAATCATTGTCACTGCACCAAAACTTCAAAGTTGTTGTGATGATTGAGGGTCATATGTTTATATTATAACATTGTGATTATGATTAAAATGGTGATCTTTCCACTACTTTTTAGTAGTGAAGAGGACACGAATCAGGTTTATTTTATATATATTTCACCCACATAATTTAATTATTAAAATTTGATCATTACTTAGAGGGTGTTTGGTAAGGCTTATTTTTAGGAGCTTATAAGTCATGCTGGCTCTTGATAGCTTTTGGATTCATGATAAATACGGATGCAATTGTTATTTATTTGGTCAAACTTAACTTATTTATATGAGCTTATATGCCAGTTTTAAAAGTTGGAGAATCCTAACTTTTTTAAAGGCGATTGTTAGGTATTAGTCCTTAAGGTATCGTTTGGCAAAGGGTTAAGTGAGGGGTTAAGGAGACTTAACCCCTTCTTAACCTGCCAAACACAACAAATCTATATAAGGGTTAAAGTGAGTTAACCCTCCATAATTTGCCAAACATAAAAAATATAGAAGGGTTAAGTTAACCCCTCTAGAGGGGTTTAAATGAGTTAACCCCTCAAAATGAGGGGTTTACTAATACTCCTATTTAGATGGAATAAGTGTTAACCCTTCTAATTATAAAGAAAATAGTCAAAATCATTGTTATTCCCAAGCACTAAAACTAATCATAAGGGCTAAAATAAAACTTATTTAACGGGTTAATAATTTAGTCATTCGGATTATCAAATGGGCTAAGTACATTAATCCTTCTCTTTAATCCCTCTTCATTAACTCTTTGCCAAACGGGACCTAAATCTTTAATAATTGCATACTAGTCCCTCCAATCCTATGGGGTCTTGCGAAAAGGCCCCTCTGTTAGTATTTCAGTTAAATTTTTAACCATTATTGGATTAACTACTAATCCAACTCTATGATTACCAAAATGCTTCTCTCACTGATGTTTCAAACCCTTGTGAAATTGAACTTTAGGCTAGGATTCTGTTCTAACCATTTAAAAAACTCAAGTGGATTTGGGTTCTTTGATGTGTGTACTGGGAAAACCCTTTAAGAAATAATTTATAGAGGGGTAAAATAGTTACTTTGTCTCCAACCGTTAAATTTAATAGAATATTCCCCTCAAATCTCATGTGATTTAACTTGAAGGACTATTTTGCAAGACCATATATGATTTGAGGGACTATCATGCAATTTTCAAGACTTGAGGGAACAATATGCAATTAGGTAAAATTTAAGCGACTAATATCTAAAAAACCCATTTTTTAAAAAAATGAGATTATGAGCTAGCTTATTGATAATTCACCAAATAGTTAGATGAAAAAAAGTTAGCTTAAAAACTCACCCCCTTAATGTCCTGAGTAGATATTAAATGCATTATATTTGGTGAAAATAAAGCTATTCGCATATTGAAAATTTTTAACTTGTGTATATAAATCAATATCTAAATAAAAACTAATTGAGTAATTAATAACTTCATACAATACATGTTAATATGACTGAATAATACACATAATTAACTTTTATCGTCACAAAGTACTGCATAAAGTTTGCGCTAAATGTCAACTTCTTGAAGAGAATATTACACCTTTTTGGATTATTTCATATTCAATATTTTGGGTGTTTTTCTAGAGATAATTGAATGCATATCTCAAAGTGATAAATAAGTTTTTTTTTTCTTGGAGACCACTTCTAAAATTGGGTCATTAGATAGAAATTACCTTTTATTTTCAATTTATATGTAAACTGTCTTTAAAGTGAAGTGTTGTTCCAATTAACCACTATCTAGTCATAGTTTCACTAAAAAATATAAAAATAAGCTTAAAAATACATATCTAAGATAGGTGAATTGTATTCTAACTAGACCTAAACATTAACAAGATGTGTTATGTATCTTGAGTGTGAGCTTTTAAGGGTATTTTTGGGTTTTTGATGCACATTCTAATTGAAGGTGGGTGATTTGGGGGGTGGGGGGGAGCTAGCAGGGGGAAGATAGCAGAAAACTCACTAGAGTTCATATATAAATTGAAAATGAAGGATTGTTCCTATATAATGCTCCTATTTCTAAGGTGGATTTTAGTTTTAAAAACCCCTGGAGAAATAATATAGTTGTGATTCCCTTCTAACAAGGACCGTGTAAATGATGTCGATGCTTACTTGCGGTAGTTGAGTGTTCTTTTTAAGTAGGGGAATTGCGCTGTTTAGCAATCATAACTTTCTAACTTGACAAAACATAAGTTAATCATTTTGATCAATTTATTGGACCTTCTCAACTTAACACATATGCAAAAGGTCTATTAATTTTAGGGTTAATTACAGGTAGACTAAGTATGATTGTGTTGTGTTAATAACTATCTTTTAAATTGATATTGGCTGATAGATAAATTGAACTGAATTGTTGTGCGCGGCGGAAGCCTCGAAGCGACACGAACAAAAACGATAGATAAATCACAACTAATAAGCCAAACACAATACCACACCAAGACAACGAGTTTAACGTGGTTCGACAAGTTTCCTACGTCCACGGGGCAAGGAGGGGGGAGTTCTTACTATTAGAAATCAAGAGAATACAAATAGAGTTATAAATCTCACCGATCAAATCTTAAAATAAAGCTCTAAATCTCTCACAAATCTCCCATAATTGGATTCAGCAATCCTCTCCCAAAGACTGCTCAAAAACG